CCCAAACCTACGCCCATGACAGGCTTTGGAGGGAAAACTCAGACTTGGCATCGCATTTAGCATGTGCTACCGAGCAGAAGCAAACCGAGACCGAACCCAGTCACTGCCTTCAAACCGCCACTGACTACTATCCAGGTGTCACGAAGTAAAGTGAAGAGAGCAATAGACAGATGAAGGGCTCCAAATCGAATGAGGATCCTGGGATCCTCAAATCGTACGGTCATAAATCATTTTAAATTTTTTTACTTAAAATTAAATGTGAATAGTATCTGATGAAAATTGATTGTACGATGTACGATAAACAAATAGGATTTGATGATCCTTAGAATCCTCACAAAAAGTTGAGTATCTGGAGAGAATCCTCATTCCTCCAAATCTTACGTGAAAGCAGAGGATGACATCATGACCTAATCGAAGGGCAATCGTCAACACACTTGCCGACTTCTATATAAGAGAAGAAGGAAAACCTGGTTAAGCAAGGTTTCGAGTTCGAGCCATGCGAATGAAGAAGCCAACATTGGGAGAGCTTAACCCCCAAGTAGGGTCCGACCCGGCTTGAGGGATTAATCCTTACCAATAACCAAAATAATCGATATTATCGGCGAAATATCGCCGATAATATCGTTTTTTTAGATGACGATATTTTCACACTTATTTACTTAAATATCGTCAAAATATCACAATATTATCGATAATATCGCTTCCTCTGCAGCTCTGGATCGCTCAAGCTCCAGCTCTTTGTCACCGACCCATTCGCCGACTTCCCCTTCCTAAACTTCTTGCCGTTGTTTCCCACCAGGGTTTGCTGCTGCTGCTGCGGGTGCACTGATGACACGTAGGACGTGCTATAGACGAGGAAGAGAGGGAGAGAGTTGAGAGAGTTGACGAGACGAGGAAAAGAGGGAGAGAGTTGACGAGGTGATGGTGGTGATGTTGTCGACGTCGGGGTGGCGACGGTGCCTCGACATGGGTCTGGGTTCAAATGGAGAATGAGAGGTGAGTGGGATCTTTGAGAGAGATAAAAGTGAGCTGAGAGGGGGAGGCTCGGGAAAGGAGAAGAGGAAAAGAGATGGGGACTTGCCACGTGGCAAGTCGTGATAGGAGGATAAGAGTTAGGAAATCCCATCCGGATAGGGTAAGTGTTCAAATGACCAAATTGTAAAATTCGTTAACTTTGAGGGACAAATATCTGAAATTACAAATTATTTGAGGGTGGGGTTTTATAATAGGTGTTGGACAATTATTTGGCCACCTAAGTCAGTAAAAATTAGGTACTAACACCTTATCCCAGTATTATCCTGCTGACCATTTGTTTATTTTTTTTCTCTCTTAAAATATTGTGCTAACCACCACTTCTCTTCTGGTCTTTATCTTTCTACCCCACATGTTTGTTTACCAATTTCCTCCTTTTTTTTCCTCTTATGACCCCATCTTTTTTGTGGTTTATTAACTCATTTCTCTCCTTTTTTTTTATTCTTGTATGTATTTTTATTTTCTCTTTTAAGATTACACCGTATTTATCTTAAACTCTCACATTATTTATAAATATCGTATTACTTTTTAAAAACAATGTAAATATTGTTTAATGCTTATTTTATGATAATTTAAATCCATCTAGGCTCCTACCTAGATCTCGCCTAGACACCTAGCTGCTAGTTCCCAATCCGCTGTTTGACTAGCGCCTAACATTTTTTAGGATCTAATCCTAGCCAATTTAAACTTCTTACATTGGCTTTGATATTATTGCTCATAACAGCTTTGGTGGAGAGATTTTTTTCTAGTATGCAATGTATCTTACCATGCAATTATTGGGGCACCTAAGTCACTCATGTATCTTACCATGCAATGTATAAAGTGTAAAATATTGTACTAATTCATTATATATAAATGATTATGGTGTGTTTAAACTTCTTTCATTAATTACTACATATTTTCTACACTCACAATGTTTGCCAGCTCGCTATATAATCAACTTAAATCAGTTAAATCCATCATGCAATGCATTTCCTTCCAATTTTTTGTGATAAACTAATAGATAATTGACTAAATAAACATCATGCAAAGTTTCAATAAAATTTTCCAAGTTTCTCTTACAATTTCCGTGGTTTTTATTCAATTTTTATCAATATCAATAATATCCCGATATTTCCATCGAAATTTATGTGTTTTTGAATTACCGATATTTCCGATATCATCAATATTTTAGACCTTAATCCTTACCTATGTGTGGGGGATACCCTGGATTCATCCAAAAAAAAGAAGGAAAACCTAGAAAGGAGAGTTCACCAGACAACCCTAAACTTAGTAGTATTGTTCTCTATCCTTAAACGATCCACCAGAGGCTTTGGAGTAGCGAGACCTGCACCCCACCTCCTCAACCAGGCCTCCTTTTCTCTTTCATATAACATCTGTAACTCTATGCAAGTATTCAACAATACTTCAATGAACGTCGCCGATTATGGGTGTATCATTATTTATCTCTGTGATAACATTACTACTAATTTCTACCACAATAGCCTTTTACTATAGTGGTGGAGAGAAATGTTATCTTTGTACTGCGGCGTGAGTTCGAACCCCGTTAGCTCCTTAATCTAATATCTAATCTAACAAATCTACCATTTGACAAAAAATAAAAATAAAAATACATTACTACTAAACCCAAAACCCCTTGGTATTCACATCCTAAAGCCCCCTACAAACCACTAATGTTAACCTTACCAATCTATGCGTTAGCAATGCTTACTTGCACACAAATCATAATTTAACAAGTATGCATAAGGTTTTCTTTGTTAATTTCATTGCTTTGATTTTTGATTTTTGATTTTTTTTCATATTGAGACTGAGCTATGATTTTCAAATAAGATTGAATAACTCATTATAAAGAAATTTTCGTCGATCACCCTAGAAGTAAACTTTTCAGTATGAGGGTCATACTACCAAATAGTGTCACTTATTAATAATATAACATGGGTATCTGCTTGTTAATATTATACATGCATTAAACTCATAACATATCACTCAAGTTATTAATTTTTATTATAATACATGAAAGTTAACAACATGTGGCGCGTTGTGGCGTATCAATACAATGTGCTTATACAGTGAACAAAAAAACAGTGTGCTTACAGTTGAAGTTTATGTTTAGGCAGATTTTTTACTTTTGAGTGGAGTTATACCTAAATCTTATTTTGAGCCAGTAATATTGTGCTTTCCTGCCGATATTTGGTACGAATCGTGAAATTTTGGGCCTTGAATTCTTCTAATTACCTAATAATTTTTCTCAAGTATTTAGGAAACTTGCCACGTTATAACATACAAACAAGACTTGTCGCATGCAAAGGCGGATGTACACTGGGACCTAGGTGGTCCTAAGACCATCCCGAGTTTAGAAAATATACATGTTAAGGTCTTTCGAGGATCCTCTGAATGTTTTGTATGGGTCCTTTTGTACCTAACAAGTGTTTGATGTAATACTTGCTAGGACTACACTCGACATGTTGTGTAAACAATGCTCGATAAATTTTCTCGATATCGCTTATCAAATGTTTGACAAAGTACCTAAGTGAATAAACTGAAACTTTTTTTACGTGCTTTGCGCTCCGTTTCTATCTAAAAAAACTCTTGGACCGCCCAAGAGCCACTGATCGCATGATCTTTTCAAAGTCAAACTTTGGTGCGCATGCTAATTACAAATGTGACTGCCGCTTGCAATAATGTAAGCTGTTTTTTCAGAAACACACAATACATGAACGAGTACCGACAAACAATGGGCGCCAGTAAATTGGCCTTTTTATATTTATTTACTTATTTTGGATATTTAATTCTTATTTAAAAAAAAAACCTTAATTTTCAAATTTTGATGTAAAATAAATTCATTAAAAAGGTCATTAACATCTTTATGGGGGATGGGGGTTTGTTTCCTTCATTTTTTTTTTCAAATATCCGAACGGACTATAATACTTATATGTATTAATCCTATACTGTAGGTTATAGACTTGGCTACAATTAGTACTTCTAAGTATTATAGTCAATTCGGATATAATTACGTGATGTGCTAATTCATGTGTATAATATGATAATGATAAAATATAGACCATAAGTGCCCACAAATTGAAAAATATGTTGGCTGGCCGGGCTATGTATTGCCTTTATGTTGAATATTTCATGGATAGATATTATCCAGTATAATAAAAGGTGAGTTTTTACTTTTTAGGGTGTAAGTCGTATAATCACGTAATGTAAGAGAGAACCAGTCCATACTGTGACAGAGTCAAATATTTGCACGGCATTGCTGCTGAGAACACTACTAGAATTGAATTTGACTGAATTAGTTTTTTATTAAGTTTTTTTATCATTTACACACAGAATTGCCATGAAAGAATAATAAAACTTATTTTGCAAGAAATGAGGGTGTGGTTGGTTTTGAACTTGACCACTGAGCTACAATCTCCTGATTTTATTTATTTTTATTTAATTAATTAAATAAATAAAACTTGTTCATAGAGGGAAAAAGAATGTTTAAAAATTATATATTCACCAAGCACAAACGTAAGATTAAAAATAAATAATTAAGAAATCAAATGTGGAAAAAGTAATAAACTTGAACCTTCTTTTTCAATTTTTTGGCCTACTTTATCTTTTGTCAACAAATTGAACTCACCCCCACCAGCTCTTTGTTCTTATCTATAAATTTCTTTATTTTGAATTTTATTTAATTCCCCAATCTCGTGGGTTTTGAAAAGTCGAAACCCACCACCTTCTACTTGTTCATATGCTGCTCATGTTTGAACGACGTTATTTCTAGCTCACCCCTCTACAAAACCATTCTATATAAAATCCATATTTTTCCTCACATCACACCTTCTCCTCCTCCTCCCCTCCTCCGTTTTCCATTTTATTTTTCTCCATAAACCTCATAAACCCGATTTTCGCAGTGGAAAATTTCGGGTCCTCCAACGTATAACCTACAGTAGTTTGGTGTCACGTAATCTGTGCACAGCATGAGGAAGACAAAGGTGAATAACCAGAACATGTTCATGAAAATCATCACGGTGCCCATCAGAGCTCTGGGCAAGGCCAAGAACTGTTACGTCGGTAGCATCACGGACGTGGGCGGCAGATTGACCTACGGCGGTACCCCTGGAGGATTTAGTGGTACTTGCGGTCGAGGCCTGCCCAAGAGCTACAGCGTTAAGACAACTTCTTCTAGGTCAAGGGAAGATGACGATTATTCAGAGCTTATTAGGGCTGCGTCAGCAAGGAACTACGAGGAAAGGATGGACGTGAACATGATCATGCAAGAGCACATGAAGCGATCGGCTACAACCACGACTATGCGATCAGATATGGGATCGAAAATCGGATCGTATAATCGGGCAGTTTTGCCAAAGTGCACCGTGGCCATGGGGAGGATTGATGAGGATGCGCCTGAGGATTTTGATGAAGGTGCTGCTGATGTCAAGGGTGAATTGCACCCTAGAAGCAGAAGCTATGCTGTTAGAAAGAAAAGTGCTTTTGCGTTTTGATTGTTGATCGAGCGCATCCAATTAGGCGTCAGTCGAATTCAAGACCTGCTGATATTTAGTTGTACAGTGAAGCCAACAAATTACAAGAGGACCGACAATTCTTTTGTGGTTTTGATTCAATTTAGAAGCGCTGTCATCATTGAAGCGGTTTTGTTTTGTATATATGCATTTTCCTTTCCTTTTCGTTCATATGAGATTTGAACTCGCGAATTTCTCTTTCAATAGAAGTAAGGATATATACGTAAGACCTTTTTGAGGATTGTTAAATATGCTTTGCTGCAAATACAAGCAAAATTATGAGAAAAGGAAAACTAGGGTTATTGCTTGATTAGGTGTCTTATTTGTTCTGGTTGCAAGGGAAAAAAAATAAGTAGTATTACATTTTGTCCTTTCAGATTTACGTCCAATTTCAAATTCATACAATGTAATTAAAAAAAAAAGAAGACCAATTTAAAAGTTGACTTTCTATTACATGCAGCACGAACACTATATTGTTTTATTTTTATTTTTATTTTTATTTTTTATCGTAGGTAAGTAACAAAATTACTTACATTTTTAGTACTTTAAAATTTGAAAGAGATGATGTAAGTAATTTTCTGTACCGTAAAATTCAATCAAGATATACAGTTAGTTATTATGGAGGATTATTATAATATACGTGATTGAAAAATTTACATTTTAACAATAATGTAACAGAGCAACAGTTACACCAAATACATGATAATATAGACATACAATTATTATATCCAAATTTCAAATTATCAAATACACGCATATAGTTTAATATCTTAATAAATATAGTATTATGTTTTTACTCATGTATTTGATAATAGTTCCGAACTTTCGCGTTCCCCGTATCACGACGAAGAAATTGAAGCCAATGACAATTGATACTTTCACAAAGTCATGCATATCATTTAAAGCTTTTGATAAAACCGAAATTTTATTTAATGCTCTGGAGCTTTCTTGTGATGTCCACTTCATTTAAATCGTCACGTAGATTCACAAAATATCTGTGGGCTTTTGGCCCACCAGAATATATTGTTATGAGCATTACATCGCAGTTTTTTTGGACTTAGCTCCAGTTTTGGGCTCATAGCTTTTGAGGTGGCAATTCGGTTTGCTGGTCGGCTTTATCTCTTCTCGAATTCCACACAAATACGATTACGGTTAATTTATGGTTGTTAATTAGGTTAATCTGAACTTAACATATGATTAATTGGATTACTTGTCACAAATAAAATAAAGTACATGTCCACATCAACTAAAAGAGTTAAACTTGTCATTTGAAAAAAGAGTTAAACTTGTCGATTTAACGTGAATTTAAATGAATAATCTCTATATTATTGTAATTTTATCAAATCTCTTGATATGCGTAGTCATATAATTTTCAATTTTAATTTTTCATTTCGTTTGGGAAAATATGAAAGTTAAAAGCTGAAAATAAAAGATAGAGTACTTATCATACGAATCTGTTTCAGTGTTCTTTTTATTATTTTTAAAAAAATTAAAAATAGTTCTCAAACAAAGTTAGAAGTTATAAAGAGTTATTTCACGTAACCGAGACATGTTCACGTCCATAATGACAAGTACCATCGCTAACAACCTAATTCTTGTTATTTCGTATTCGTGTCGATTTTTAGCACTGTTCTAAAAAACGGCCTAGGCAGTGGTGAGCTGATATGTTTTCTTGCAAATCGGTTGGAAAAATCGGATCGGCTCTAGGTGGCTGCCTAGGCGGGGTAGGCGGCTAGGCGGTGGTAGGCGGGGCTAGGTGAGGCTAGACGGTTATTATTTTTTTTAATGAAATTAAAAAATAAAATAAAAAATCCTATCTAAGTTTAAGTGGTTTAAAATTGTGAACTTGTTGTACATTTATCATCATACAATACTCCTCACTATGGTTATATGACATATATGCTTAATGTGTTTTTAAATTTTGGACTTGTTGGATACTCTTTTGGCATTTTATCATTTTTTTATTATCTTATCCATGGATTTTATACAAATATAATTTTTTGTAAGTGTTAATATGCACTTATTTACAAGATATACAAGAAAATTACCTAAATCCGCCTAGGCCACCTAGGATCTATGCTACAGCTCGCCGCCCGACTAGCGCCTAGTGTTTTTTAAAACCTTGATTTTTAGTCAGATTTGTCCTTGGGTCCAAAATCACCCTTGCCTCAATTTACTAAAACGCCCTTACATTTATCCCTTCCATTTGCCACGAAATCATCGTTCCCGTACCGCCACATAACCGCCCCACCGCCGAGCCACACTACTCTAACTCACAGTTTCCCTTGCTACCGTCGTTCGGAGTCCAGATTTTACCATGGAGGTTGAGAAAGGCACAAACCTGTCGGACATCGAGAACGACCTCGACGAGGAACCCGGCGAGGTGATCGAATCGGCACCGCCTCTCGAAGTCGGCGAAGAGAGAGAGCTCGGTAGCTCCGGCATCAAGAAGAAGCTCCTCAAGCGCGGCCATGGCTACGAAGCCCCTGAGTTCGGCGACGAAGCCACTGGTAAGTGTTTCTCCAGAAAACCCTTTTGCTAAAAGCACTTGTGATAAAAGCATGTTGGAATTTGATAAAACCCATACCTGCTGCTTGTACAATCGAGAAGCATTGCATTTTCTGCTGAGGGCTTGTTTGGTAATCCTTTTGTAGGAAGCATGTTGAAATTTTCGTGAAAAATTCAAGTGCTTCCTGAATCCTGAAGAACCAGTTGGAGGCGCTTCTTAAGTTTTTTCTGGCTAGTCAGAAGCACAATTTGTTACCAAAAAGCACCTTTGACCATTCAAGAAGCAGTGCCAAACAGGCTCTAAACATTGTTAGACGTGCTTTTGATCATCTAAAATTGCTTTGACCATTCAAGACGCCCTTAGACATTTCTTATCTCAATTAATAATATTTTAGAGAAAACTGATTGTGGAAATTTGGATTTAGTGCACTATGTTGGGACTTTGCTTGATGGGACGAAGATCGAGTCCACTAGAGATGGAGACGATCCTCTCACTATTAAGCTCGGTGAGGGCCGAGTGGTGAAGGGTTTGGATTATGCAGTCGTGACTATGAAAAAGGGAGAGATTGCATTATTCACATTACCTGCTGAGTTGGGCTATGACAATGCTGCTGTTCGATATGAAGTTGAGCTCGTTTCATGGATTAGGGTGGTGGATTTGAGCAGAGATGGTGGGATTGTTAAGAAGATTGTGGAGAAAGGAGAGAGGAACGAGCTGCCTGGTGATCTGGATGAAGTTATTGGTACTCTGATTCCTCATCATGTAAGCATGTAATTACTGTAAACCTCAATTTTAATGTTTTTATTGGAACTTTTGTTGCTAATGCAGTCAAGTATCGTGCGGCGTTGGCTGATGGCACTGTTGTTGCAGAAACGCCAGAAGAAGGAATTGAATTCTATGTGAAAGATGGTAATTTTTGTGTGGTTTCAATGTGGAAAGCAACTATGTTTGAGATGTGCCGAATTGTGATAATTGAATAACTCTGTTATCTGCGTGTGTTTCAGGTCATTTTTGTCCAGCATTGCCAAAAGCGATCAAGACAATGAAAAGGGGAGAGAAGGCCAAATTAATTGTTCAGCCTCGGTGTATGTCTTTGTATTCTTGTTATCACACTGCTATTTTAGAGAAGAAAAAATTGAACCTTTTAACCATGAAATATTTTAAATAATTGTAGATGCCTTTCGAGAGGAGGGGAGGGATGCGAACGAGGGGTTTAATTCTATCCCTCCAAGTTCTGTGCTCAATATTGACACAGAGTTGGTGTCTTTCAAGCCTGTTATTGACGTTACAGGTGATGCCAAGGTACTAAAGAAGATCTTGAAAGAAGGGGAAGGCGCATGGACTGCTAATGAAGGTGCAAGTGTTACTGGTAAGTTTATTGAGATGCCCACTTTTATAGCAATATTACTAGAATCATGACATAAGTGTATAGCTAGGCTTGTAATTCCTTGCATTTGAAACATATAATTAACCTATGACAATCACAGTTAACTTAAAACTGCTATACAATGTCCAACTGTTGCAGTTAGCTATATAGCTAGGCTTGAAGACGGCACTGTCTTTGACAAAAAGGGAGTAGATGGAGAGCAGCCTTTGGAGTTTATCATAGATGAAGGTCAGTTACTCCATTGCATCTCTTTTTTCTGTTATTTGCATCTTTTTGCCTGATAATCACAAGAAGAAAGCTCAAAAGTAGTTGTGGCTAATATCTGCATCTTACTATCTGTAGAACAAGTGATTGCTGGTTTAGACCGAGCAGTTGCAACAATGAAAAAGGGAGAGCTGGCAATACTGACTATACATCCTGATTTTGGATTTGGAAGCGTTGAAGTAAGGCGGGACCTGGCTGTTGTACCACCATGTTCGAATGTCTTCTTTGAAGTTGAAATGTTAGATTTTATCAGGGTAATGACCATTTTGATGAACTTGTGGAATTTGCAATGATAATTTTCTAAGATATTCATATTTCCTAAACTTCCTACAGACATACTTTGGTAATTTGGTGTCCTTACTCATCATATATACAGCATAAGCTAGAAGGCACATATTTTCTTAATTTCTCTCGCAACCATTGCTTTCTCAATTATTACTCTCTAATTTTCTTTAATGAAAAGGAAAAAGCACCATGGGAAATGAGTAATCAAGAGAGACTTGAGGCAGCAGGAAAGAAGAAAGAGGAAGGCAACCTTCTCTTTAAAAAGGGAAAGCTTCAACAAGCAGGGAAAAAATATGATAAGGTAACGGAATGCGAATTTTTATTCCCAAACTAACCATAGTTTGGTTCAATTTAAACTAAATTCATATTTATTTGCTGCTTTCCTCCTCTCAGGCTGCTGATTATGTTAGTGAAGATGGAAACTTTGGGGATGATGAGTCGAAGCTAGCTAGAACACTGCGAATGTTATGTTGGTTGAACGGTGCAGCATGTAGCCTAAAACTAAATGACTTTCAGGAAGCGATCAAGCTATGTTCAAAGGTAAGCTGTACACAGAAAGAAAAACATGATGACAAAGTCTCAGCTTCTTCTAGCAAGAATAACGTTCTACACGTCTCTCAATGTTCAGAGATAACGTTGAGGCAAATCTCATCATATTTTCTGAATTCGATCTTGTACAGGTACTAGATATCGAGTTCCACAATGTAAAAGCCTTGTACAGACGGGCACAAGCGTATATGGAAATTGCAGATTTGGTCTTGGCTGAATTAGACATCAAGAAAGCTCTTGAGGTTGATCCTCATAACAGGTAACTGAAAAACTGATCTTTGCAATCCCGTATTCCCGATGTACATTTGTTTAAAGCGACACGTACTCCGTGGAGCATTATACGATTAGTATTCTTTTTCAATTTTCCAGGGAGGTCAAGCTGATTGAGAAGAACTTGAAACGACTTCAAGTTGAAAGCGACAAGAGGGATGCTAAGCTCTACACAAACATCTTTGGACGAGCTACAAAGGTGAATATTGTTTTTTATGTTTCATCAGCTCTGAGTAATTTCAGTGACAATATTGTAACTGAAATTGGCCATCAAGGTCCATCTTAACCGAGATTCTTTACTGTAACGGCAGAAATTGAAAGTCGAGGACGAGAAAAGATGAGGCTGTGGCGCTGTAAATGGTTGCTGATACACCGGTTTCTTCCTCGCCTGAAAATGAAGTGGTTGATTCTTGTAAAAATGTCTGATCATGATTCATGATTCATGATTTGTGTATGCGTAGAGTAGTGAGAGAGACAGTCGATGAAGGTACGGGTTATATAAACTACATCAATGTATAACTACTATGATACACGGGAGAACCGGATTTGAACTTAGATACAACGAACTCGCTTAAACCCCAATTTGGTCCGTTCTTCAATTTGAAGTATTTTTGTCAAAACATGGTTCAAACTTATATTTTTTGTTGAGAAAAATATAGTTCAAACTTGAGTTAACTAATAAAACTGGAGACGCTTACCTATAATGTCTTATAAATAATAGAAGGATGTTGCTATCTATATAGTACTTTTTATTTTTTGCACTCTTGTTAATTTATGTCATTTGATATTTTCTAATTCACCCAATTCGACGACTGAAAATTGAGAGGAGTGCGAAAAGTAAAAGATACGTAAATATTTATAACAAAATATAGCGGCCATGTTTCCTTTTGTTTCCGAATTTCTGCTTCTGCGATTGATCAAGAAGTCCTCAATTCCAAATTGTCGTTTGTTTTGTAGAGAGAGAAATTCAAGTGTGAATAGCGGCGGAGGAGAGGGGCCACGCGGGGAGGGAGGAAGTTGGTGGAGGGGTAGGAGCGTAGGTGGAGTTGAAGATGCGGTCGAGGAGGGTTTGGCAAATGAGGCGAGGAGGGAGAGGGGGAGTAGGAAACAAGTGGAGGGAATGCGATTTCACGTGTCGAAGAATCTACTCTATTTTTCTCACCGACTTTCAGGATATATAATTTACAAGTTTTATGCCTGCATACTTCCTAAAATACAAGAGTTAATTTTTCTTGTTTGTGATCAATTAACTAATTTGTTGTGGCTTCAATTACTACCAAAAGCCACGGGCCTTCCATTTCTCACTTGTCGTCGTCTTATCCCAAACTCATGCGCTCTAGGCCGCTGTATTCTCCGAGCCACCGTAACACCGCACGTTCAAAGCACGACACTTCATATATATAGTGTATATATATGCACACACAGAGAGAGTATATACACACACACACACACACACACACAGAACTAGGATTAGTACCAGTTAATGATGTCACGTCGCATGGCAGGACTTTCTTCTCCTTGCCGTGGTCTGCAGCTGGTTCTACTTCTGCTTCTACTCCTACCTCTTTCAAATGTTTGCTCACAGATGCTTCCAGTCTCTAACTCACAGTTGGTTAAATTTCTTCCTGGATTCCAGGGACCTCTTCCTTTCGAACTCGAAACCGGGTACAAATCTCACTGTGTTGAGTGATTATACAACTGGTTACAAAGTTTTCATAAATTGCAAAGTTAGAAGGACGCTGAACAGACAATAAACAAGTTTTAAATTGTGGTTGGTATACGATTTATTGTGTGTTTAGTATCTCCTAATTCAAGTAAGCGCGTTCGCGCGTATAACTTTACGTTTATGTCGATTGTTAGGTACGTGGGAGTGGGGGAAGAAGAGGAGGTGCAGCTATTTTACTACTTTGTCAAGACAGAAAGGAAACCTGAAGAGGCTCCTCTAATGCTTTGGCTAACTGGTGGTCCTGGTTGCTCTTCCCTCACTGCCCTTTTGTATGAAATAGGTACGTAAACTGTTAATTAACACAGCCAATCAACATTATTGCTCATTAGGCCATATTTAAGAGAATGATCCATATAAATTATTAACTATCCATATAAATGATTAACTTTCCATATAAATTATTAACAATAATTAATAAGTTAACAACTAGCTAGTCCTCTTCCTTAAAGGTTTATTTGCTTTGTTTGAAAGTGCTCTAGGAAAGGCTCAAAACCGTTATAAGATAACCAAAATCGCTAGTTAAAAGTGCTTATGAATGATAAATGAACTAGAATTTTAATACAGACGTTTTTAGTACAAGTGCTTATGAGCATAAGACCTCTTTAGTTGTACTTTGTTACTCTCACATCAATCATTTACCTTTTTCTGCATTTTGTAGGTCCATTAAATTTTAACATTGAGCAGTACAATGGGAGTTTGCCTACATTAACCTTAAATCCATACGCATGGACAAAGGTGATAATATTAACATCATCATCTTACGAATATAAACAAGAAAATTAAATGACTCTTTTACTTGTTTTACATGACGGAAATTAAACACGGAATTAAACCTTTTTTTTCCGAATGGCATTTTGATCTCGAATGGCAGGTATCTAGCATAATTTTTGTAGATTCCCCGGTGGGGACTGGATTTTCCTATGCAAGAAGTTCGTTTGCTTCTCCGCCAAGTGATTCGGAACAAGTTGGGCATGCCCTCCAATTCTTAAGGAAGGTAATAAGAAATATTAATACAAACTTAATTGGGGTCTTAAACATCATTTTAAACACTTCTGTGTCATGATTCCCACCTAATAGTACTTAAGCAGCAACATTTTCGAATCAACTTAGAGAGTTATTAAATCGTCTGTGGCGAAAAGAAAACAAACATGGTTGCCATTTGCCGATAATGATAGTAGCTCTTTGGTATAAAGGAGTAGTTGTAATAAGTTCAATTAATTTTAGTTCTCCATTTTCCTTTTGTTATGAAATGTTGTTCAATTGCACCTTGTAGTGGCTTGTTGATCATCCAGAGTTCATGTCCAATCCTTTCTTTGTCGGTGGCGATTCATATTCCGGCATTCCTGTTCCTGTTCTTGCTCAGTTAATCTCAGATGGTATGCAAATAATTGCTAATTAGCTTTATATATATATATATATATATATATATATATATGTGTGTGTGTGTGTGTGTGTGTAATTCTGCAGTTAGTTTGATATAGCTAACTTGATAGTTGGTACGTACTGCAGGCAATCAAGAAGGAGTTAGACCCGCCATAAATCTGCAGGTTTATAACTATATATTCTTGTATATTCGTGTTAACTGTCTATTTTGTGTTGGAAGCTTGTGTCACAATCCATGTCAGTGAAATAATTACAACGGAAAAATCGAATCGGTAGTTGTAGCGGTAGTAGTGTAGTTCTAACTTCTAAGTTGTGATCCATGCTCATTTTTTCAGGGTTATATACTAGGGAACCCAGTAACAGTGCCACAAGATGAAGGCAACTCACAAATCACATTTGCTCATGGGATGGGACTTATTCCTGATGACCTATTTGAGGTACGTACTAATTTGATCTCATATTTAATCACCAATTAATCAACCTATTAAAAGTACTTTTTAATAATTAATTAGTCTAAAATTCATATAATGCAGTCCTTGGAAAGAAGTTGCGGAGGAGAATATCAAACCATAGACCCCAGAAACGCAGAGTGTTTGAAACATAAGCAGGCTTATCATACTGTATGGTGCAATTACCCGAAAATTAATCTTTCTTAACCGTCTTGCTTCCTAGTTTTGATCTCATGTTTTTCATGTACTGCAGTGCATTTCACAAATAAATTTGGCGCATATTTTGGAATGGAACTGCGAACTTGTTTCTCCGAAACCTCCGCTACATATGCTTGATAAAAGAAGATATCTGAGTAACAAGGACTACAATGTGTTCTCAGAATCAACTCCTCCTCCTATATTAGACTGTCGGGTAACCCCCTTCGTCGCTTTCTACTAATTTTCTTGACCTAATACTTGTTGATAGGGAACATTTCTTGAATACAAGCTCTCGATTTTGTGCATGCAGAGTTACGGATATTTGCTTTCTGAATATTGGACGAATGATCAGTACGTACGTGAAGCCCTTCACATACGGAAGGTATATGTATATACGATCGAGATGAATACTAAACAAGATTTAAATTGGTAAAATATATATTGAGATCAATCAGGGGCAGAACTAGAAAGTTAGCTTACCGGGTGCACAACTAAGTGGTGACAGATGTAGGACTATCCTCATTGCATTTGGCCAACCCATGCTATTGTTTTGCTTAGCGTACATTCCCGCTCTTTAGTGCTCATTTAATTGTGCATTTAGGTCAATAATGTTATAGGTTTATAAAAAGGTAAAATCATACATGTATAGGACCGGAAGCTCAAATTTATAAGATGTTTGACAGTTATTACTTTAAGAAAACGACTAACTATAAAATTTACTAAAAATAGTGTCGTTTCTCTATGAGGATCGAGTGATAGAGTTACACTAGAGAGATGTCGATGTTGTATAGTTTTTTTTTCAACTCATTTGTTTAATGAAAAAAAACCGAAAAAGAGATATTTTGAAAGTACGCAGTGCAGGGAAGTATAGGGAGATGGAAGAGATGCAGCTACGATATACCTTACGAGTATGACATTCACACCAGCATTCAGTTTCATGCAAAGTTTAGTGCTCGAGGCTGTTATCGCTCTTTAATATACAGGTGATGAGGAATTTAAATTTAATTAACATCTCCATATATATTTTCCATGCATCAACTCTGCGTTTATATAATGTTTAAATATTTTTTTAACTTTAATTTCTTTGATTTTGTTAATTATTTCAGCGGAGACCATGATATGATAGTGCCCTTCATGGCTACACAAGCATGGATTAGATCTTTAAATTATTCCATTGTTAATGACTGGAGACCATGGTTTGTCAAAGGCCAAGTCGCGGGGTACGTAAATATTTCTGATACGAACGATATTGATGGAGAGAGAATCGAACTTGGGGCATCTTATTTTTAAGTTTCGATTGGGTTTGAGTTTGCCAATCAAGTTTTTCCTTGGGGATGTACGATGTAGGTATACGAGGACTTATTCAAACAGGATGACCTATGCTACCGTGAAGGCAAGAAATAGTTTCCGATCCAATTTTCTGAATTTCAAAGGAAGATTTGATTCAACTTGAGTCTTTTTTAATTTTGGCTTTCTTGTTTGGTTATAATTTTGCATGTGCAGGGGGCGGGGCACACAGCTCCTGAGTACAAGCCTGAAGAATGTTCAACTATGTATACGAAGTGGTTATACGAGGAACCTCTATAAATCGAGAAGAAAACTCACATGCAATCGGAATTAACAGTGAGATCTGCAGAGAATCTCAATCCGTATTTAAGAGGCTTAAGGTCCATATTTTAAGAAAATATTAACTATCTAGATAATTTTTTTATTTTTTCAAATGAGGAATGCTAGTTACCTTCCTCGATTATATGTAGCGTGGACATTATTTTCACTTAAAACTAAATATTTAATGTGCTTAAAATGTAACAATTTTATTTCCACTAGTACCCCAAACAAATCTAAGCTAAAAAATTCTTGCTCTAACGCAATTCAGAAACGACGGGGTGTAACATGCAAAAATTAAAATCTCTCAATTTTGACACTATAAACGGTATGGTGGTCAATTTAGATGAAAATAAATTAATGCTTGCATGAGAAAACGACATTAACATTGAACACAAATGGTCCATAATATGGTCGTATAAGGAAACATGTTTGTCAAAGTTAATGGATACAAGACCCAAATGACGAATGGTACATCTTTGCTATCTGTAGTGACACGTCGTTTCTGGGACATTTTTCAGACTTCTCAACGTTTTTCACTCCTCTATGTCGAGGAAGTATGTACATCGGTGAGTAGCCATCGGGACTGCGCAGTTCTTCCCTTTGTGTTGAAGGATGACATAAACATAGGCTTCTTTCCCAGTCTCGGTGTCTCCAAGAATTCGGATCACAGAAACTCCGTTTCTATTTGTCACGCGATTCCCCTTTTGGCAGTAAATCAGGCCTCCTCCACCGGAAATTGAACCATCGCATGCCTACAACAGGAGCAACGGCCATCAAAATCTATGAGACAGCAATATTGTTACTCGAATATAACCCGAGCTAACATTATTCATACATGTTATAGACAAAGGAGATAAACACACTGCTACGAAATAAAAAATGATAAGACTTCAAAAAACGAAGATGATTTACCAGTGGAACTTCTTGAGAAGAACTTTAGCACTTCATCGATGATAATAACCTAAAATCAGATCACGAATGAGAGCTTGAATGAGTATTGACAATGAGCAGTCGGAAGAGGGAATCAAACATAGGACACTCTGAAAGGTAAATTGCATACGGGAAATGAAAGGTATAGCACAACAGTCCAGTCAGCCCAAGATAATGGCGTAACCTACAGCACAAAATATTACGGGACCATCAGTAATGTTCGTTTACAAAAAAACGATAAAAGTAACTGTCAAACACAAGAGAAGGAAGAAGACTACTTACAGAGAAAAGAATAGAGAGCGGATGGACGTATAATATTAGTACGTGAAGGATCATCGTTAGAATAATTGAACCAACAAGCCACAAGTTACTCCATGGAGGGATAACACTGGAAACGAGAGAAAGTCAGTGCTAACACCAGTCTAGTCTCCAACCAAAATGTAAAAATGAAATAACTTAATCATTCAAAGTAAATTGTAATGTTAATATCTACGTATATGCTTACACAAGAGACTGATTTTCGCTGAGATTATTCAAGGCATTGAACATTTCAACCACCACAAGCACAGTCATGGATACAGTTGATGGAGGCGATCATCAAATATACTGCATGGATAAGTTGTCTCCCTCGTTGAGCATGAGTCAAAATTCATCTGGAATGAAATAACTAAAAAAGTGAGACCCCAGTTTATACATAACGGAGGATATTATAAGCGTCTAGTCTACAGACATTTCTATGTAGGTAGTAATTAAACGTATGTCATACAAACTGTAGAAACCAGTAAACAACCGGACAATGACTTTAGAAACTACAGAATTTCAGAGCCTGTATGATCTTACCAATTCAGAATATGGCAGTTGAGGACCACTATCAGAGTAAACAAACCACCATATAAATCCCGCAACCGTGGCAACCCCAACATAAGCTGCAATTCATACACCTTCATTTGATTTGCATGGAGAAAATAAACAAACACATTTACCGTAACGTAAACTTAAATTCACGCCACAAAAAAATCCTAACAAATAGGATCAATCATGTTATATACAGTAAATGGCTTCGTGTTATGTCTTAAGTTTTTTTACTAATTGTCAGAAGACTCAGAACTGATTTTCTCTATTGATTCATAATTGAAAGGAGTGTAACCAGTAGGGACCAAAAGGCCATTATATAAGTGATACCAATTCATTTGTTCAAAATATAAGCTTATGAAAGAGATTAAATTGCTGACTATTGTAAGGCTTAACATTGCTTCATACCGAAAAAATAATGTAAAAGAGATGCACTACAGGGCTTTACAGCTTTTAATTATAGCTACTAGGTAAACCAAACCAGTACATGCTGATGCGGCATCAATTTCACTGGGAGCCATATCTAACATGATTTATGCATACCTCCGATTACCAAATAACGAAAAAACAGCCATCCAGAAACAACTGCTTCATTGACCTACACACAGATAAAAGTTAAAGTGACGTTATGCGAAAGCTAGAACTTCTCTCAACAACAGAAGGACTTGTTTTATGATGGTACGATAATAACATTAATGGATGAAACATACATATGACCTAATGAAAAAAATAAAAGTCCAAATTTGTCCTTGATATTATTATTGATCTCCCCAGCGGAAAAAAAAAACACAAACTCAATACCATTTCTCATTCAGCCACTTTTAGGCAACTAGTATTAAAGACGGATAAGAGGAGGAAGAGAAAAGAAAAAAACCAGAATACTGATAGCAGATTTAATTTATGCAATACCTTCCGAGGTTTAACCTTCATCACATCAGAATCTTGCTTATTAAAACCAATAGCGGTGGCAGGCAATCCATCAGTAACTAAGTTGACCCAGAGCAGCTGGACCTGGAAAAAGTTTTCATAAAGTATTGAGGACATGAAAATAAAAGACGCAGAAGACATTACAGTTCTCAAATAGAAAGGGTTGGAAAATGAAATATCACAATTCGTACATAAAAGGACTTACAGGGGCTAGAGTATCAGGTATGCCAAGTACAGCTGCCACAAATATACAAACTACTTCACCAATATTTGAAGAAATCATATATCTGATGAATTGCTTTGTGTTATTGTATATAGCCCTTCCCTCTGCAACAGCCTGCCAAGAATTAACCAATAATTAAGTTGAATGGCAGAGAAATACTTTTGAATGTAAGGTAAAAGTCCTCATTGCTGACAAGTAGTAAAAATAGAATACTTGCGAAAATAATATGAGAAAGAAAATGGAGAAAGAGAGGCACACCGCAACAATAGTAGCGAAATTGTCGTCGGCCAAAACCATATCTGAAGCACTCTGATAAAGACAGAAATAGCAGTGGTAAGAAGAGTAAAGTAATACTACAAAATGATAATGAAACCAAGAATAGCTCTAGGGACCAAAAGTATAGAAGTTGGGTTCACAGTGACATAAGTGAAAACGGTATGTATCCCATTCTACCTTGGCAACAGCTGTTCCTGAACCCATGGCAATTCCAATATCTGCCTTTTTAAGTGCAGGTGCATCGTTAACACCATCACCAGTCATTGCCACCTAACAAGCACACTAGAGCTTCAGGAAAGTAAAGAAGAGTATGGCAGTAAGCATGAAAAAGTATGATAGTAAGATGACTAAGCATGAAAAGGTCTAAACAAATGTAAAAGTTTCTTTGTTTACAAATTTTGAGGGAGCAAAACATCATTCCTAGGCTAAAATGAAGCTATTGCATCTATATAATGATTCAGCAACCAGAGATAAAGCTATAGAGGGTGTACCACTTCGTTTTGGTGTCGCAAGGCTTCAACCAGCATCCTTTTATGAGAAGGTTCAACCCTAACCAATCAGAGGAGGAACAAAAAAAATGAACAATTACTAAAGAAATAGAAAGAGAAAATTTGTTTAAAAAACTGATTAAAAAAGATGGAACAAATGGTAAATATCTAATCTTCCACAGAAAATGAACATACAGCGTGGATGCAACCAGTATACCTAGTGAATAGTGCCATGCGTTGCAATGCCAGAGTTTTCTGCAATGCTGGTAATTCTTCAAACTCAGTCGCAGTGTAGGAGTATCCAGCAAGATCTTCTAAGTGATCAAAAGCCCCTATCTTGCGGCAAAGTGATTCAGCTGTTGACTGAAATCATGCCAAAATCAGCCGGAGTGTTCTAACCATATGTGTCCTACACCCATGCATAAAAGGACAGACCTACCTTGTTATCCCCAGTTACAACTATAACACGTATGCCAGCAGTCATGCATGAAAGCATCGCGTTTCTCACTTCTTCTCTTGGTGGATCAAGCATTCCAACCTTCAAAAGAAACAAAGCAAGGAAAATGTATACAACGTAAATAATTGAGCTAATGGGCATGAAGAGACAAAGTTCATGTCTTGCAAAATAAAAATAAAATCACGTATTTGGCACAGCAACCAAACAAACTTGACTTTCTATTTTGAAAAGAAAGCATACCAACCCAATGAATGTTAGATCATTCTCATCATTATGGGTGAGACTCTGTAGACCCATGGGCATCCGCTTAAAGGCCAGGGCCAAGCATCTTAGTGTTTCCCTCCCTGCAAAACTGACCAAAAAATATATATTACAACGATAAGCACGTAAGCCTAGAGAGAGAGAGAGAGAGAGAGAGAGAGAGAGAGAGAGAGAGAGAGAGAGTATAACGATGAAGAAAATATTCCTAACCTACGGAACCTTGATTCCAGCTCAGCTCGAATACTAGTTGTTAGTGGTATAGCTGAACCATCATCATTGCACAGAATACTTGTGCATCTAGAAATAATACTCTCCGGAGCACCTTTTGAAAACATAATTTGCAACTGGTTTCGGCTGCAAAGGACACTCATCATCTTCCGATCACGAGTAAAATCTGCAACAGAAATCTGCAAGTAATATATTAAACCAATAAGCAAAACCAAAAAATTACTGCAACAAAAATGGCAAGTTAGAATTAGAGTTTTTTTGCCAGAGCATTTCTTTTTGTCTTTTTCAAGTAGATAGTTCCACTGTTACTGCTTATGATATAAAACTTGAAGAACAAAAAAATAGATGCATAAGCATAAACACCAACCGATGATTTTGCAGCCAGAAGTCAAGACACAGTCAAGTAGTTATAGCAGACAACATGAGAATCAAATAAAAATATGCAGAAGTACACAAGAAGACAAACTAACAAGTAGAATAACAAATTAGTCCGAGTTGTTTGGTAAGGAGGTAAAAAAGCATAAAACATCATAATTCTTCAGCAGGTTTATTTT